CCTGGCAACAGCACATCCTGAGATGCGCAGGCAAGTCTTCAGATCCTTGCCAGTGTTAAATATTTAAAGTTCTGCATGTGATAGCCGTATTTTTACAGAAAATGAACATCAACAAGAAATTCCGGCAGGTATCACTAGGTGGGACAATGTCCCCAGTCTATTGCCCAAGGAGAAATAGTACAGTTAATAAGAATTGGGGCAAAGTGGAATTAGTCAAAGCTTTATTTCACCATGCTTACATGAAGCAGTACTTTATTTTTACTCCAGGAAGCCTGATCTAACAGTGGGGACATAGGGCCTCCTGCGTGCCCTGGGCCATATATGGCTGTGAGAGGCACACCTGTCATTTGTGCTGCAAAAGAAATGGCAGGCATTCCCACCTCCCATCATCTGGCTCAGGGGCACAGAGGGAGGGAGGGCTAAAGCCTCAATATGCCACACTAGGATCCTGGGCTTTATCGGCCCTTCTGCACATACTGTAGAGTAAAAATGAAACAGCTGCAATTTCTAGGTAGACATTAAAATAATGTCTGCTTTGGACTTACTGTATATCATTTTGAAAGTAAGAATTCACAAAGAAGCATTTCTCCATACATTTTCAAAATACATATTTGTTCCAAGAAAAAGAAATAGTATGATCCATGTATTTTTAACAAGTTCTGATTATTATTAATCCAGGAAATTTAGCACTACTATATCAATTGCCAAAATTCTGAAAAAGAATTCTCAAAAAATCACAGCAGCATAAATCTTGTCCTCTAAATTAAGATTATCTTATCTTCCCACATCTTTTGGGGCCCAAAACTATTTTTCCCCCTTGGGCCTACTTTTTCTTTTTTTAGGGCCTTCTGCTGCGCATACATTTAGCAGCAGAAATGGCTCCTTGCAATGCACAGAAAATGCCAGCATGAACTAAGGGCTATTGGAACATTAGTTCCATATACTGTCCTGGAGAGTGCATATGTCAGGAAAACTGGGAAAGCCAGATTTCAGAATGCATTTTTTAAAAGCCCACAGTTCAGTTTTCCATTCCTGCAGTTTGACAGAAATAGCATAAATACGTTAAAGGTTTAAGGTAGGATTAATGCTGCACAGCTTCTGTTCCCAACCCCAAAACCTCAGTGGATCCCAATTGCCTATCATCTTGTCTGACAATTCATGCAGAATTCTGAGTATACTCAAGGAAAGACATTGACCTCTAAATTACCCATTGAATGAAATCCTCACCAAAAGTGTATTTTAATAAAACCAACAACCATGTCACAATGCTACTAGGTCACAGCATGGACCCAACTTTCCCCACAACCTGACACAACAAGTACTTTCCCAAAAGTTGCTACCAAAGGAGAGAAAATGGGCCCAGACATTTTACTCCAGCCAAATTAGACAGGCTTTCCCAACATGGTACCCTCCAGGTATACTGGACTACAGCTCCTAGGATTGCTGACCACCAGCCATGCTGCTTGTGATGGGAAATTAAGTCCAAAACATCCAGAGAGCACCAGGCTGGGGAAGCCTGGTCTATGAGAAAGAAAACAGACAATCCATGTCAAACTGTTGGAGGCTATCCATCGGACTTAAACTCTTACAAAGAAATCAGTTCATAAATTTTCTACCACAACATCAGCACTGACGTTATACACTGTCAAGTTTCGCATCACTTCTTTGAGCCAGTTTCTGAGTATTAGCTGTAGAATCTCCTGTTCCCCTTGTTACGACAAAATGCAGTCATTTGGCTAGCCCTTAACATAGCTACAACATTGCAAAACAGGTTAATTGATCCTGTTAATTGAATGGGGAAGCAGCCTGACCAGCTGTTTGTCCTGGACCAGTTCCAAGAATTAGTTTCGTATAAAAACTAGAAAAGCAGGCTAGTTTTTTGTGTGTTCATTTCTACATTTATTTATTCCTTTTCCTTTATTCCTTTTGCCAGGAACCCTAGGTACCTCACCTAGCCCCCTTTCTCTCTATTTTATCCTCACAACAAAAACCCTGTGAGTCAGGTGACTGGGCAAAGCCATCCTGTGAGCTGAGTAAGAGACTAGAACTTGGCTCTCCAGAGCCCCACTCAGAAGTTCTAACTACCATAGCACATTGGCGCTCCAAAGTTAGCAAAACTGCTGGAGTAAAGATAAATTTTCTGTTTGTAAGAAGCAACATTTTTGCTATGTATGAAAGTGCCAGATTACTGCAATTGCTGCTAGTGCCCAGTTTCTCACATCACCCCATTTGTGACTGCAACATGCGTGTATGTAGTTCCCTTCCATCTACCGGCATAGGCTTTTGTTTCTCATAAAAGCAGCAATGGCTATGAAGCAATTCCCATCATACCTGCTTACCTGTTCAGCTCTTCCATCTTGCCCAGCTCAAATCGGGAAAAAGAATTTTTGGAAATCTGAAGCTGCTCATTTACCTCAAAATACATAACAAGATTATAGACCAATGGAAATAATTCCAAAGAGAAAGAGAGAGGGAACTAGCACAAGGAAAAACCTACTAAAGATTTCAATGTCCAGCTTAACTTGAAAAAGATTCTTTCATCACCATTTGGATGAAAATGGTGCTCCCAGAAATGTGACCTTCACCTGATGTTGTCTCCTCCCTACTTCTATGGTATCAAATGGATCCTTTTTTCCAAACCAGTTTTTCATAAATATAATAGTAAATTATACCACTACAATAATAACTGAGATCACCTCTCTAATATTTCTAGTTTGGATTTTCCTTTGCTTTTTCAGCATTGACATCTCTTAGTATTCACCGTCATAATCTTTTGGCTTACAGTCATGGCTCACCAGTTAACTTGGGCTAAGACGTAGTCAAGTATGGTACGGGCATGTTGATAATAGCCACTATAGGTTGACATTAATAAAGAACTTGGAGTGTGTTCCCTACACTAAGATTTCAGCCACCCCAGAATGCTTGAGTATACAGTACACCCAAAACAAGAACAAGCAAAACACAACTCTTATGCCATCTCACTGAACACACCGTCCTGGAGGACCAGCCACATGCTTTTGTGTGGTCCAAAGATTACTGTGCAGTTCACACACATGGTTCTGTATCCCTTTCTACATACATCAGCTTTTATTGGCATAGGGGTAACACTGTAGCAAAAAGACCAGAAGAACATGGCCATTGCAAGAGGAAAGTGGTGTATGCCCATTCTGTCCTGCATCTGGGCCTTTTCTGCATAGCCATCCTTGTGCTTTATTTCTCTCCATCTGTTGGAAATGAAAGGGGCAGTTCTTTGTGACGTGTGCACCAAGGTCAGGCAGATTTAGCCTCGTCAGACGAGGGGCCCTGGGAACTGGCGCTCCCAAACATTGAGATGGGAGAAGCAGAAGGGCTTATCTCAAGGCTGCCCTTGCCAGGTGCTCCAGCAGACTCCGAATCTACAGCTCCTGGGACGGGGCACAGAACAGGAGCTTTAGGATGACTCTTGACCCATGACTCAACATTGGGAGAGAAGGGCTAACCAAAGAAAGAGGCCGTGTACAGAAAAGAGGCTTGCCTGCCTTCAAGAGGGGCCTCCCAGAGGGGGTCAAGGAGTGTTCTCAGAAGAAGTTGCTGGACTGGGTTCAACAAACCACTCTGTGTATGTTCAGAGACTCGTTCTGTGGTGACTGTGCATCCTGAAGTATAAAAAGCTTTTGCAAGGGAATGGTGTGTCGCCTTGAATGTGTGGAGGGGGAGACCTACCCCCAGCATCTAGCCTGGGTTTGCTATCTGGTGCCTAGTACCAATGAACTCATGGTGCTTAATGTTTCACATTAATAACTTTCGGTTTTGGATTACTGTGGGTGTACTCTGCTCATTCATTGTTCCATCTATCTCTTTCATCTAATCCCTACCTCCAAACCTGCCTTTTCCTTCTTTCTAGTTTCCCCCTCTAGTTTTCCCCCTTACTAACCTTCCTTGCCCCTTTCCTCTACCTCACTCTCTAACGCTAACTTTTCCTTCACTTCTAAACAGAATTGTGCATCCTATTTTATTTTGAATTTAAATATATGGTTGTAATGAGCCTGCTAATTAAAGGGAAACTGATTAAATTTTGGAACAGGTTGGGAGAGAAATGGGACTGGAGGCCTGCTTTTGAATTTGAATTCACGCTTTGTCACATTGTCGGAACTTGATTTTCATGTGAAACCTGCCATTTTTAGTTCTCTGTCTGTGGGCATGCATGTATGTGACAAAGACCTGTTTGCAACCATTGCAAATCGATTGTAATCATGTACCATTTAATTGAATGGTTTATCTTATTTGGGGAAACAGCTGGCTTTGACTCCTGTGAAATGTAAATAATTCCTAGTAACTGTTTTGAATTCTGAATACAGATGCAAGTTATTATGGGCAAATGTTATGCATATTTGTGCCTTGCAGGCCGGTGCCCCAAATCTTTCAAATGCGAAGCAATGCCTTATTAGGTCCAAAGGTTTTGGGGGCAGGTGCACACACACAGTTCCTTATTCATTTCTACATACATTGATTATTATTGGCATGGTCACATCATGCTTGACGGGGTCCTGTGTTGTCAATGGGTCACTTCCGTTTGGGTCGGAGCATAGCCCCCGCACTCCCCAAAGCCTGGGAGTGGTCTCAGCAAGCAAGCACGTGGTGCTTTCCAAGACCCCACAGGAGAGTGCCCTGTGGTGGCTGGACTTGACACATTTTTCTGTCCTGTAACAGAGGCTAGCCTGATAAGTGAGGAAGAAACAGTTTTGTATCAAACCGAATGCAGCAAATCCTAGTGTGTTTTTTCTTATGCCAATCTGATGATTGTCTCAAACTTGTTTCTTTTGCAATTAAGTTTGCTACTTTTATTGGACTATAAAGGGACTCCACATTCAGCATAATATGAGTTCATCCTGAAACTCATGCTTTCTGCTTCCAACTTCAGCAAGGCAGTTCTACTAGTTGGAAAACAGGAGAGAGAGAATATTAACCTCTTCAGTGACCAAAAAAAGAAGAACAGTGAGATGCGATTCCCTTTTGCTTACCAGTCCATCACAATTGCTGATGGCTACTGTGGCCCCTGGCATACCCGAGACTCCTCCTGTGAAGATGCATTCCTGCTGCAGTGGCTTCTGAAATACCTCTTGGAAATCCTCCTGCCACTCAGCCAGCGCACCAGGGGACACCAGCCGCCGGTTGGGCTTCAGGCGCAGATGCAGTTCTTTCCCAAAAACAGTAACATTGAAGTAGTGCAAACGATTCCCAGGCATGTCTCGATTCAGAGGGGTGCTGCGGACCACTCTGTGTCGACCTGAGTGAGGTGCAGAAGGATAGGCAGCTTCCTGCCTCTGAGCTGCGACTGAGCCAGACACCACGTGCGAGAGGAACCGTCCCTGGCAATCTGTACTGAAGGGCACAATCACACCATATTCACTTAGTTTTCCAGACAGGAGCAGCTCTAGTGGAAATAAATACAGATAGACAAACTTCAATACATTCAAAGCAGACAGAAATCTTTTTTGTGCAAGAAAAGCTTCTCGAAACTCTCATGCCTGGCACTCCAGAATTTGGAGCTCTGTCCCACTGTTAGTCATTCGCCCACAGCAAGTCACACCACCTTCCAAGTGACAGAAGCTGTCACTCAAGTCACCTGGTAATTCAGAGGGAAGGCTGCGTGTACTCTGCACCACAATAAACAAACAATGAATTTGCACCAAAACAGATGAATTTCAGGATGTGAATTAATGCGCGCAAATACAAAACTGGTTTGCACAATTTGGAAAGCCAAGCAGTCCTTGAAGTCCAGCCTCCTGATCTCACTCAGCCATACCTCCTACACACATCACTTCTGGGAGGCACTGCCCACATCTTTGAAACATAACTTTGCAGTCATAAGGGACAGACTTTTGCACAAAACAAATGAAACAAAACTTCTGTGCTCAAAACCACATTTTGTACTTTTTGTGCTCTTGGAAAATTACAGCATTATTATTAATTATAGCAATGCACACATATGGATGTCAGAGTATATTTTGTTGGTGCAGCTGATACTGTATTAGTCTGCAAGAAAGATGAAAGCATTTTGTTTTTGAGTTTGCTCTGACCTGCCCTCCATTTGTATGGATGTTTTAAGCTGGCAGAGAAACCTTTAGACCTTTAGAATTTGTTTCCCCCAGTAGCCCAAACACTGGAGGCAAAAAGCTTTTAAGTGTCTGATGATGAGGCGGAAAGTGTGAAGTCCAATTGCAGAACCTTTCTTATTTCTTCCTCTTAAACTGTGGTTTATGGAGTGTCAACTGGGTATGTTCAACACAGCAGAAGAAATTCACATTGACACACATTTCCAAGCCCAGCTAACACAAAGCATCCAAACTATTCATTGTGCAGCTTCCATGTAACACCTCTCCTCTAAAGTAGAGAATCCTATTCAAATAAAAAGGTGTGTCAGCATCATAACACACTTTGAAAGAGCTTTGCAATAGGATCTCATATGTCTGCTCTGCTTCATATTCTGAACCTTCAACACTGTTAACAGCATTAAACACAGATAAAATGTACTAAATGAACAAACTCCCCAACGTTTGCTCCAAATCAACCATACACCAGGAAGTGGTTAGCGCACATCCGTGTACATCCCAGTAACAACTGCCTGGGAATTTGAAGTCTCTGCCTACAGCAGGTGCTTAGCAGTGTTTTGTACAGCAGTTTGGTACCTGGCTGGATGTACAATCGATGACAGACACAAGACTGGTTTGTGGCTCACTGCAGTCAAGCAGTATTTTGCCCTCTTACCGGCCAGCTGATCCATCTAATTCAAGCTTTCAAGATGCAGCATGCAAATCCACAGGCTGCCACCAGGATCCTAAGCATGTTTATTTTGGCACAAAGCCCCATTGATGCCCACAAAACTTGCTCCTGAGCAAGCACGCACAGGACTGCAGCCAGACGGTTCCAGATCATATGCCTACTTGCTCAGAAGGAAAGGTACTTCCAGGTGAGACAGGTATCACGCCATCATCATTCCAGGAATATTACGGCGGGGCGCAGACGTCTTCCAAGTCTATAACTTCGTCGCCGCCGTCCTGTTTGCCTTTTTTCCCCTCCCGCAAGCTTACACACGCGCATCCATTAGGGGAGAAAAGGCCGGATCACTACACAACGCCTTGCGATAGGAAGCCTTAAGAGCCCTCCATCCAGCTGGACGCACTGGTAAGTCCCACGGAGTCCCAAGCGCTTCACTCCGGATCAGGCCAAGAATGCCCCGAGCTCCGGAGCGAGGTCCGCCGGGGTGCGCCCCCCGCCCCGCCGCGCGCGCCCTGGAAGCCCACCTGAAGGCGGGCGGGAGTGCGCCCCGGCTGTCGGCACTCGGGCTGCAGAGACCCGCGACTCCGGGCAGCCGGCGCGGCGGTCGACGCCCGGCGGCGCCGCTTCCTCCTGCCTCCCTCCTCGGGGCGTCCTCCTCGGCCCCCCGGCGCTGCCCCCTCCTGGCTCCCCCCACTCCTCGCCCGGGGGCCGAGGAGCGCCGCTCCTACCTTGGGCTCTCGCTCCCCTGCCCGCGGCGAGCCAGCAGTGCAGCGGCACCAGGCAAGACAGCATCACATACAGAGGAGGATAATCCATTTGGGGAGGCTCGCGACGCCGGCCAGCCCCGGAGCGCGCGGCGCGGGGGTCGCTCCCCGGCTGCTTCGGGCGCGTGGCGGCGCGGAGCGCGAGGGCAGCCGCCGCGCTCGCCTGGCTCCTTCCCGCCCGCCCCTCCCCGCGCCTCGCCGGCCGCCCGCCCGCCCTCCCGCCTGCACGGTCAGCGGCAGAGCCGAGAGCGCCGGCGCCGGTCCTCCCGCTGGCCCCGCCGTCGCTGCACTGCGCCCGACCTGGGACGAGTCCCCTCCATGCACTGCGGATGGAAAGGCACCGCGGCCGGCCGCCGAGGGGAGGAGCCGCGTCCCGCGGCAAGGCTGGTGCCAGCTGGGGGAGCCGGGCGAGCGGGAGGAGGCGGGGAGCTCCGCGCGCTCCGTGACGTCGCCGCCCGTGAGTGACAGCCGGGGGAGCGCGAAGGCGAGGGGGCTGCGGAGACCTCCCTCTTCCCCTCCTCCCCTCCCGCGGGAGGCACGGGGGGGGGGGCTCTATTGCACGTGGCGCTTCCAGCGCGGCTCCACTTGCCATTGGCCAGCCCAGGGCCAAGCTCCGCCCTCTTTCCTGGGCAGCCGGGGACGGGTCCCAGAAGCGCCTCGCCGATGGTCTCCTGTCGGCGCGGCAAGCGCCCCTCGGACGGAAGCGCAGCGCCCGGCGCCTCCACGAATTGCCCCTCGTTCCCGGGCGCCCCTCGCCTGGCTGCTGTGCCAAGCGCGCCCGCGCCCCACTCCCCTACGGACGTTGCAAAGTCCCACCTGTGAGCTGCGCATCTGGGAGACTTGTGAGGAGCAGGACTTCACGAGGAGCGAGCCATGTCCAGCAGACGCCAGGCTGCTACTTTTGTTGGTTCGTCTGGTTTGATAGACAAAGGAAGTTCAATAGACTTTTCTTTTCCCGGGAAGATGTGCAGCCCTAGCAAACTGAGATTTACTCAGAAGTAAGCCCTAATGACTTCCTCCGTTGCTACACTAATGTTGAATTGCAGACTACGTTAAAAACGAAAGCCAAAAAACAGTATGAATCTGCCAACAGTGTCTGATGATCAGAGGATGGGTCACTTGAATCTGCTGTCTCTCAAGAACGCATGTCCATCAGGGCCTGTAAAGAGCAACCAGTATAAAGATGATGGACACTTGTGGTCAGTGATTCCAGAAGGATGGCTAAGATCCCTCAAGCTTCCAAAGAGGCTGCCGTTCATCCACACACAATAGCAATAGATAAGATCTGGCTGTTTTTTAGTCTTAGGGTTCGAGTCTTCTATTTTTATGGAAAGTGATTAAGTGTATTGTTGTCAAGCCATTTCAAGCATATCTGATGAAATGCATTATTGAATTGTTGCTGTTGTAGACCTGAAGGACACATCCCTTCCCAATTCATTTTAGTCTGGGGTTGAAATGGTACTGGTTTTGGTAGCCCTTTGGTGGATGATCTTAGTCTAGAAAGGCAAATGGAACCACTGTTCTTAAGGGTGCAGTTTTTGACACTGCATAACGCAATTACCTCAGAGCGTAATTCTATGCATATTTAGACAGAAAAATATCCTACAGTTCCCCAGGGCTTTTTATGTCTTTAAGTGCACAGGACCAAGCCTTTGGATGGTCTACTTAGAACATCTAGTTGATATGTGCAAGAGATACCTCCTGTTGTTGCATTCATTTTTGTCTGTTGGCATGTAGACTGGGCCACTGGGTTTGCCTTCTTAGTGTCATGAACTTTGGTATGTGGGGTTCTACCAGTATCGGTTGTATCATGGATAGTGCATAACATCTTTATAAGCTGCAGAGTGAGATGATCTGAGGATCTGGAGGTGTCCCTGACACATACTGATTTAATTAACTGATCAACCCAGGAGCTGCTGTCATAATTGCAGCCAGACCAAAACATTTTGCTACCTGAAAGGCGTGGGGGGAGATGGCGCCACACATCACCCCCACCCCACTTCAGTCAAGGCGCAGAGTATTTGAGGCCACCCCACTTCAGTCAAGGCGCAGAGTATTTGAGGGGCAAAAAATCCCTTTTCTCTCTTGGGCAGAATTAATACAATAACAATAAATTTCATCCATTGAATGTGCTGCCCTTTCACGAAGTCGCAAGCCAACTGCCCAAAGCAGGTGTCTCATTCTGCATAAATATTTGAAGGCCTTGCTCCAGTGGATGAAAGTGGTCACTGGGGTAAAACCGAGTCCCAAGAAGGTGGAGTTCACTATCACTGAGCAGAATTGAGCCAAAATTTCTTGGAAGACATTTTTCTCAAAAAAAAAAAAAAATCAGAATTTTTTCATTTTCTCATACCTTAGAAAAAGGCAGGCATCTTGCACAGTTTTCTGCATATATTCTCCACTCTGGGGCACTTATGTGTTGGAGCACATTTCCTGCTGTTTTCTGTTAGTCTTGCTAACTGGGTGCAATGGGAGTGCATCACATTTTGAGAGTGCCAGATTGGAGGAGGCTGCATGAAACGTTCATTAGCAGGGAACATGAGGGACAGTTCCTCCACATCTGGGTTAGCTTTCTATCATCACAGAAACATCTGCAGCAAAGCAGTGGATCTAGACTTAACTTATGCCAGGAAGTGTGCCATAAAACATGACCATGGGCAGGAAAGGGTTAAGGTTAATCACAGCCACCTGATTAAAAGATTCAGAAAAGGGATTACAGGTCCCATGTTCCACACAAGCTGAAAGAGTTTACTGAGTAATTGGAATGGCCATCTTGCATTCTGCACCTGTTAAAAGATGGTGCAAAGCAGAGCTGGCTCTAGGTTTTGGGAGCGTTCCTGGAAAACAAGCCACTGCTTATCAACCTCTTTCTCCTTGCGGCTGCCACTTGGCCCCAGGAAAGGCAGAAGACCTGGAGCAGTGGAAGGATCTGCTGCTCCCTACCATGGTTCCCCAGGCCAGAGTGAGGCTGGTGGACAAGCGGGTTGCAGTGGTGAAGAGAAGGAGCGAGTCCCTTGGCAGGTATCCAGCTGGGGCTGTCCTTCGTACTGGCCCTGGAACAGACCTTACGCTAACATGGGCATGAAGTTTGGGAATAATAGTCGGTGAGTGAAAGAAAAGGACAGAATCATACCTTTCATTCGCTGAATACAGAAGCTGAAAGAATGCAAAACCGGAATGATGACTCAAACCTATCTGGCAGTGAAAAGTAGCCCTGAACAGGGGGTGATTCTGGGCTAAATTATAAAATATATTAAATGCTCAAGTGCACTTCATCTGTCCAAGCAGAGAAATAGCGACCACAAGAGCGGCTTCTTCAAATTTGCACTGTGGTACAAAGGAGGCATCTAGACTGTTCCCTGTATTCTGCAGCCAAGCTGGAGAGCCAGTGTGGCGTAGTGGTTAAGAGCACGGGACTGGGACTCAGGCGACCTGGCTTCTGGTCCCCACTTCGCCATGGAGCCAACTGGGTGACTTTGGGCCAGTCACAGACTCTCAGCCCAACCCACCTCACAGGGTTGTTGTTGTGGGGATAAGATGGAGGAGGGGATGTAAGCTGCCTTGAGCCCTTTGTAGGAAAAAGGCAGGATATAAATCGATAGATAGATAGATAGATAGATAGATAGATAGATAGATAGATAGATAAAATCCTCCTTTCGTTTGATGCTGCTTCCCCTTCTTTATCATGGATACAGTCCTGCAAGTGTGAACACTGCAGGTGCAAGATACTCCCACTTGCACTAACCATATAACAGCAGGTATGTACATGTATGCCATTCATTACCCACAGGAGTTCATACTGATTTGTAGCCCTGAGTCAGCAATCTCATTTTAAACACCAGAGAACTAGTATTCCAACAGGAAGTCCCATCTCTCTAGGTGCCGATCTGGTGCCTTTTTGGTGCCAAGTGAAGACCTTACTTTCCCAGACCTTTTAGTGTTTCACAGCACAACCCTATGGGTTGCATCGTCCATGCTTCTAAGTCTCCCAGCTTCCTACATATAGCAGAGTGATCGCCACCTCCCTGCAGCTCCCGTCTCTCTGCAAAATTGGTATACTGGCAACATTCTAGCTTCAAAATGAATTTGCCTAAGTTTTCCAGCAGTTGCTGCCACAGGCTTTAATCAGTCAGAAAAACCTGAATATTATTTGAGCTGCTGTTCAAAGCATCGTCAAACCCATGAAAAGTTGCCTTCCTTGACACATCTGGTATGGAATTCCAACAAGGTAGGCAGCTGTGACTCCTGCTGCAGCCCCCGCCCCCTCCTGCCTCCATTCATGTTCCGTTTGAAACATTTGGAAACGAAATGATTATAGGAACCATAAAGACTCCAGTGCCTTTTCCTCTGAAGGAAATGAACCCTTACAAAGTCTGCCCTGAACTTCCAGTGACTCGGGGAAAAGGAATGAAAACACTTCTCTAGTTTTGCGCTGGAGTAATGTTTGTCTCCCTCACAAATGCGTATTTTTTTCAAATTTCCCCTGAAATGCTTTTAAGGTTTTTCTCCCTTTTTATATGCTCTTACACATACCTTATCTTGATCATCGTTAAGTGCCACCTTGATGGCTTTTTAGAAAATAAGATTATGAGCGTAAGTGAAGAATAAAAAATGCACACTTGGAAAAATTGCATTCTGTATCACATAAACCAAACGGTGCATTGTTAAAGCAATATTGATTAAATTAGGCATAGTATCACCTCTCACATTTGTCGAGATGGCAACTGAAGTTTCAAGCTGTGTATGCATGTGTAGTTGAGAATAAGCTTCACTAAACAAAGGCTGCCATTCTAAGTCACATATTGTTGGAAAGCAAACTCCAGTTGAGCTCAGTGGAACGTGGAAATTTATTTCTGAGCAAACTTGCTGAGGATTGCAGTGATAGTGTGCACTCATTTAAGGCCCAGATGCACAACTGACTGGATTCAAATAACACAATTTGTTCAACACTGGGTTCGACACTTAAAGGTTGAATGTGCATTGTGGTTGAACCAGAGGTTATTGTTGAAACATGGATTATCATGTTAT